CCTCCCTCTTTCCCTAGGTGCCCTCCCACATTTTGTTACTGGGAAAAGCTGTTGTCCTATTACCTCACTGATAAGTGATCTTAACTGTATTCATTCAGAATGCTTTAAACTTATGCCTAAGCTGTTTTTGTTTATGGACTTTGGGTTATTTTGTTATTGTTGTGAGAATATTTAAGACATTGTAAGAAGTAATTTTAAATCTATTGCATAACCTTTTTTGGTTTTCTGGATACTACTATATATTAATTTATTATGGCCTTTTACAATTCACTTGTTTTCTGAAATTGCTCTAGAAACTGATGAAGAAAGAGTCATACTAACCTAAATGAATGGTCAATTGATCTAGCGTTCTATTTCAGGTTTCCTTGTACTTTGGGCATCCAAAGCACAAGATCCGAGATAATCTTTTTTCACATTTGTCCCTCAAAGCATCTTACCCTAAGCCATAAGAAGACTAAGTGGAAAGAAGAGAATCTCTCATTGTCTGACTCTTTACACAGCCTGATTTTACTCCTGGTTTGAAACAAAGTTAGTGTTTACCATTGGTTACTTTAAATATTCACCATACTGTTATATTCATTAAGACATCTGTTTGTTAATTCACGATTGTGTACTTAAAAAAGAGAACATAGAAGAATGAGTAAAGTGACCAAGATAAGGGCAAAGTGACATATCTAAAGATTGCCTCTCAAATTTTTCCACCAGCATAATCCTCCAGCAGAGGAGCATGAATGTGTAGGGGAAGGGGCCTGAGAGCAAAATCAGAAGCAGCCTGCCACTCAGGAAATTTCGTGTTCTGTCTTAAAAATGTAAGTGAATTTTGCATTCTCCATAATAAAACTGTTTTAGTATAAAAATGATTCCTTCAGTCTTCATGGAAACTGGTGCTGCCAGAAAGAGGCACCGTGTTTATCACATGGGCTCTCAGTTTTCTCCCCCCCACCCCGCCCCGCCGCCCTCAGTTGCTGCATGTCCCTGGAGGTACCGCACTGACTCTAGTGTGAGAAATATAAACATAACACATACCAAGGATATTCCCTTTAAAAGCTGACTTTTGAAAGTATTAATGGCAAATTGAAGTGACCTGAAACAGTTATGTTACCACTGAACCGTGTGATATAGTCAGAGCTGTTGGCCAGTTTGTTCTGTTTAATTCTTTGGCATTCCTTGACTAAGAAGGGGCACCTGACTATCAGCTCCCTGAGAGCAAGGATCATGGTTTATTATTTTTTCATCTCCACACCACCTAGTACAGTACCTGTTGTAGAGTACTTAATGGGTGACAATAGGAATTATGGGATTTTATTTTAAAGAAACAAATAGTTTAGGAAACAATCGAAAACATTAATTTTCTGATTCAGCTTTTAAAACAATTCTCAGTACTGAAGTTTATTAAGCATGCACACCCTTAAATACCCTGTTTCTTCGGAGAGAGAAGAGCATATTCCTATTTCGAAATTGTATGTAATGCCTAGTGTTTTACACTCAAAGCAAGATGTTGGCCAAGAAGGCTAAGAAAGTGTCTGTGTAGACTTAATATCACTAGTATTAGTGCCATTATGAGCCTGCTAGGGCTGCTTTCCAAGTGAGTCACAACTAATTTGATACTGTTTGGTATATTTTTGTTCAGTATTATGATTCATCATATATCTTACAAGAACCA